CGTGGGAACAAATTCAGGTCTGCACGGGTAGAGACTGCTTTTTGAGGGTTAAAACTTGGTTTTCGGGTTCAGGTTAGGTGTGTAGTTAGGATTAAGGTTGGAAGGGGCTAGGGAATTAGGTCAATGAGACATAAGAGCAAACGCACGTGTTTGTGTGTGGTAAGAAAAAAGACATCCCTGAATGGATCTAGCATATATACGTAGGTTACTAGCTAGTCAATGTGCAAGATCACATTTAGAGCACGTTCTTCTCCTACAGTTGCATATGTTACAGTTGTTGCTTCTTTAATCTGGCTGTACACAGCTTTTAAAATGTAATGTTAATCCTGTTTTCATCATCTGAACGATTGGCAATGCCACACCAAAACTTTGACTTATAACAGCAGGACTAGTTTTTTTTTCTCCATTATGATTAAAGATTTGCTACGGCCTAATTTAAGTGATGTAACAAACTCCGGTTATTAAAATACTGAAGTAAACAAATTTTTCACTTTCAAGAAACAGGAAAAGCTGTTGTAAGCTATGTTGGGAGACTGCCAAGAAACGGCTAACATATTCAAACAAAAAAATGCAGTTGGATGAAATGATTTGCCATGCTAATTACAGTAATGTGACGTTACAGAGATCAGATTTTGTGTCAGAGCATTTGACTTATTGATTGCGGTCTGAGTTTATAAAACGTGTTTTGGATTAAGCAAAATTGTTGGGTTTTTTAAAGGTGTCCAGAGTTAAGTCCAAAGTTTAGGAGCCACTGTTAACTGTAACACTAACGCATTCCATTACCACAATTCAGCCATGTCTTTTCAACGTTAACTCACACCAGTCTTTAAAAATATTGCATTGTGCACATGCCACATGGACGTATGATTAAACATGGACACCGGACCCAAAGATGACGCTTATTCAGTCCAATAATAATGGCACATGCCCCAAAAAGGTTTCTAGCATCTGGGTTTACCTCCGGGACACTGAAAATCACTTTTCTCAACCTGAGAAAAGTTTCACAAATATAAATCCTTCCAGTGATTTAAAAAGTTATAATTGACCTTGTTTGCAGTTCTGTCTGTTCAGCATAGAGGGATAGCTTCTGTCCCTCTTAAATCATGGACAGAGATGGGCCATTTTGCTTTGATATTGTATATCAGGCAACTTCCATTGCATATCATCTGACAGCAGGTGACCTTCAATGATGTTGCACCTTTTTGAATTCATCGATCGGTGCTGATAAGGTAAAGTGAAACTTTTTAACAGTACAGTTGTTACTTTGTGAAAGGTTGACATTGAAATGCACAATTATGTAAACAACTGCCACAACTTCAAAATTAATTTGATCTTTTATCACTGGTGTGCACATTTCATCCAGATTAAATTATTACTATTCAGCTTGACACCCAGGACATTGTAACTGTACATTTAGTTTGGGAAATGATTTCTGTTTGACAGTCTGTCTCTACAGGTCCAGATTACCCCGCCATACACTCATAAGTACAGTCACTTGTGCCCATAACACTGGGGAAGCCTGAAGAGAGTATTAAGTTAAAACAGAGGCTCAGCCTGTAGGCTACTTTACTTATTTATTTTAAGGGTCACCTCCCTGCAATTTAATAAAACGCCTCCTTGATTCTTCGTGTTTCAAAATGACTAGGGAAAGTGCTGAAAATATTCAGTTACTGCTTTAGAGTGAGGTATATCCTTCTTAATTTCCAGTATATAGCCGCCTTTGCAAGACCTTCTGCATCATTAACACAGTACAATGAATGTCTCACATGCAATGGTCTTTGGTTGGCTTCGCTACGGTGAATGTTAGGGACAACCTGATTAAGAGTGGAGGTATCGAATGCAGAAGCTTACGTGCACCAGTGATTACTATATAGTTTATAAATGATGTGAATAAATTGCTACGGCCTTTAAAGTCAGGAGATCTCAACCCAGTTTCATACCTATGGAAGATTTTTGGTGAGACATGTAAGACACTGCTCTACCACACCATCACAACACAACATCAAATGATATGATATAAACTTTCAAATCAATTTAGTGATGTAAGTGACTGTCCCTGATGATGCATGTCCTTTTGTCTGGGTATATTTGTTTTCCTTTCTATTTTCTATACTCAGGTGGTATATGTAAATTTTATCTTGTGGAGGTATAGTGTTCATCCCTCCAGTAGAGTTCCAAAGAGTTGGCAAGGAGCGCTGAATCTGTTCTGGAGGGCTGTGATGGCCTGACACCATACTAACACACTGTATCTATAGGTAAACTATACTGGGCCTATTGAACAGGTACCTCTCCCACAGACACTCATCAGGGAAGTCCTGTGGATCATTTATGTCTCTGAAGACCCTTGGGGCTGGTGGTGTAAACGCTCTGTGTAGAATCTGAGCATCCACAGGATTGTTGAGGAATGAACATAGTTAGCTGGTTTTAGATGCACTGCTTATACAGTATTGCCTAACCCCATGTCAAATAACCTGTTGGCAGTGAAAGTGGTGAGACTTGATTTTCCTAAATTGTTTATTTTCATTGATACATTATTTGGAACTAATGTAAAGATATACATTCATGTTTGGTCACATTGTGAGAAACAGGTATGAACTTAAATCCGCCATGTAGCCAGAGACATGACTCCAAGTTAATGATAATGTTTGTCCGTAACTGCAAGGTTTGTAAATAAGCAACCAAATCAACTTTAAAGGTGATGATATATCAATGTGTTTAATACTTGTTTTCCGCTGCTCCCAAGAAGAAAGAATCAGCCAAAACAATCAGTTATTGCATGCGGAGTGAAGTCACTGCGGTTTGTTACCCCCAAAATAATACATTTCTAATAGTATACATCAAACTATTCAGAGCCACCTCATTTCATTAAATAAAGAATGAAGCGAGGTGCGAAGTTCAACATTATTATCAGCAAAATTAACTTAAAGAGGTGGTATTATGCTCATTTTCAGGTTCAAAATCCTATTTAGGTGTTGCACCAGAACAGGTTTTTTACCTTATCTGTTTTTATGCAAATTGCTGCAATGATGCAGCTACTCATGCGTTTCCTTAAAGTGGTCATATCATGCTAATTTTGAGGTTCATTTATTTAGGGGTTGTACCAAAATAGGTTTACATGGTTTCATTTTCAAAATTATATTTTACATATTTTTTGTCATACTGCACATTGCACCAACTCCTCTTTTCACCCAGTGAGTTGAACACTTCGTTTTAGCTATGGAGTGATACATCTTGTCTCTAAAGGATCTTTGTTGGGAGTTGCATATGCGCAGTTCCTAGTGAAGGACTACTAGCCAATCAGAAACAGAGAAGGGCGGGCCAATGAGAAGTTAAACACAACTTTGTTTCAGCTGTGCATGTTGTCGACAAGCTTGGCAACATAGACTGGAGCAAGAATGGTGAGTTATTAATCTGTAACAAAAGTATCTTTCATCCATAAAGTTTTAACTGAGCTCTGTCTCTACATCACAGTAACAACTTTATGTTCATTGACTGCCTGGAGGGTAGCTAGTGTTTGGAGGGGAGAGGTGTTTTTCCACCGGTGTTTTTGTGGGCGTGTCCAAGTAGCCGCTTGGCGAGCATTATATGAGGCGCATGTAGCTTTCATCCCTGTGACTCACAGGGATGGAAGGGAAGCGGCTGGACTACAAACGAGCTGTTTTCAAGCAGTTCAGAGCAGTGTTTTCTGTGGGAGATGGGAACTCCCTTTGGGCTGGACTTTGGGCTTTTTCACTTTGCAAACCTATTACATGCACAAAAAAGGTATATAACTCAAGAAAGGAGAGGGAAAAAGACAAAAACCATAATACCACCTCTTTAAAGTTTCAGAGGTAGAAGTACTTATTATGCAGAATATTGTCTACTGTCAGTGGTATATTGTTATCTTATTAATTATTACTAATGCATAATGCTATTGCAAAATGAAGGCAGCATATTTTTCAACTATTATTAAATTAATCGCCAACTTTTGAAAATCAATTAATCAGTTTGAATAATTGTTTAAGAGGGAAAAAGTGAATATCTTCTGGTTGTGGGCAAAATAAAACATTTGAGGACGTCATCTTAGGCTTTGAGAAACAGTGATTGACATTTTTCATTTTCTGACATTTTATAGACCAAACAACTAGTTGATTAATCAAGAACATAATCGAAAGAATAATCGCTAATGACAATAATCGTTAAGCCCTAGAATATATCCTCCTGAAATGAGGATGGCAAAATTATGAAGTAGTACTATAGTAAAGTGAGTAAATGTATTAGTTTATTTCCACCTCTAGTAATGTGTATAACATTTAAAGTGCAAATGTAAAAGCACTTGTGCATTGGGTATTTCACAGCTTTGTAATCAGTTTATGACAAAGATGCAGATTAGAACTTGTTTTTTATCAATACACACATTATTTTGGTCTCTTGGTTACTGTCAAGCATTTGGGAGAACGGGAAGAGTGCACAAGGAAATAATCCCCCAATCTTTATTGTCACATTTTTAATTCAGGAACATCAAAGTAGCTTGAACGCAGTTCTCTTCTCACAGTGGGACAAATACAGATAATGTGAATTGGATTTTAAAATTCAAAGAAATAAAAAAGAATCCAATATATATACAAATATTATATGCACAGACAACTGGCAGAAGTAAAATTAAAAAGGTTTTAAAAGTAATTGTTGGCTTCCACAGTGACTTGCTTTATCAACAAATGGATTAGCCCATATTGTACATGAGCACATTGCAGTATAAATGCATCACAGGCTTTAAACACCTTTAACTATTAAAAGTAAATATGAAAAAAGCCTGTAAAATGTGTATTTTAATCCTTGCACCCACACCCAAGAGGTTTTAGTGTCTTGACTAGCCAATAAAAAGGTTCCTTGTGTTTGCACATTATAAGTATGAAACAATAAAAAAGAAAAAATCAGGAGTGGGAGGGTTGAAAGGGTGTGGAAAGGAACGGGCAAGCAGAATGATGAGAAATTCATTTAGAAACAGCGAGGGGGGGTTATAAAAGTGTCCTCATCTGCATGTGAAGCATATAAGAGCTACTGTCAATTTGACTAGTCCTCCACATCCTCATATTCACACACAGGGAACATCATAAAAAAACACAGACAAGGAAGAGTCACGGTCAGGTAAGTACCTCTTGATCACCTCAGGACGCAAAACGTTTATGTGTGAATACACAACTCTATGAGCTATTGCCTACATTTTTTAGTGTAGTTCATGAGTATAGTTTATTGTATAGATATAAACCCAGAGAGCATTGGTACTGTGTGTGTGCTGCATGACTTGCCTCAATGGAAGAATACAAAGGAGGCAACTTCAACTGTAGTATAAAAAATCTATAAAAATCGTATAAATAGTATCTGTGTGAGGTTTTCTATGTTTTACAAAAAATGTCTTGCACACAGCATTTTCCTGACTACCTAAACCGATGCTTAAAAATCCATTATCATCTTGATACATCGCTTGTGCACAAAATTTGAGATGACACAAGCATTCTGTTACTTCTTGTGCTGTGATTTTTTAATTGGATTAACTGCTTTGTCATCTTAGCTAACATAATGTCATGCATTGCATATTGCACTTTATACAGAAAAGGAATTGAAGCCTTTTTGTGTCTTTGAAGTATTCTGAAAGCCTGTTCAACGTTTTGATTGTTTTTGGCCTATTAGAAGGGCACAGGACAAAGGTTTGGCTCACAAAGACAATTTGATTGACTGAAAGAGAGGAGGGAAATTGGAAATTAATACTGAAGGTAAAAGCACAGATGATTAACGTGTGAAGTATTGTTGTTTGTGTCACAGATGATTGGTAGGCTAACAAGTTTGAGGAAAACAACTGAGAATATTAGGCAAGGCAAGGCAAGGCAAGGCAATTTTATGTGTGTACCCCATTTCAACAACAAGGCAATTCAGCTCAGTGCTTTGCATGAAAAATTAAAGGCATTAAGAATGAAAACAAAGCAATATAATAACACAATATAAAAAGGCCTATAAATAAGATTTAATTAATAGAAGCAAATTTTAGTCAATCTCTTTAACTCGCCTAGAGCTCTAGCTTTATTTTTTCTCTGTTGAAAATTGCTGAAGATTTTTAGAGAATTTTAAATAAACTCTATATGAATGCTGTTTATGATGATCTTTCAATTACCTTCAGGTTTATCAAATGAAGAGCAAAATGAAGTTGATGATCAGACCCCTTCTTTTCAGTTTGCTCCTGTACTGTGCAACCCAGACATTAGGTAAGCATGTTTGGTTTGCAAGAATTTAACTGACTTCTTGACCTCTGTTAAATTGTTCATATAAAAGATTTTTTCTCACCACTTTTGTTCAATGTAAGCTTTCACTGCTTCAGTTAGCCCTTCAAGTTTCAACTTTCTCCCCCTTTTTCCTAAGGTGTCACGATCCAATCTGTCCCAGAATTCAGCAGTGAGGGTGTTATACAGACAGAGCTGGAGAAGACTGTGTCTCTGGTTTGTCTTGGCAGTGAGACTGAGGACGATGAAGAGTTGGTCTGGCTAAGGAATGGCGCTGCCGTCAGTTTGAAGGAAGAAAATAAGAACGGTATCAGCAGAGTGTGTGTTACACCCGTCATCTATGAAGACAATGGTGCCACTTTCACCTGCCACCTGAGCAGAAATAACACAGTTAGGGCCTCGGTCACCCTGAATGTCACATGTGAGTCCCTTCAAATAAATGTCGGATTGACTAATAACATATATATCACTTTCAGGTTTACTGAATTTTCTCATCTAGCATTACCATCAGGTAAAGATTTCTCTTTGTTCAATAATGGTTAATGACCAAATAAACAGCAAAACTAATAACATTCCCAATTCATCTAATAGTTGAGCTATTTCAGTCTGAACCAAAGCAGTGTACCAGCAGACTGACATTGCCAACCACAAAGGCACGCTGTTAGCATGACTATACATGCTGGCTACTAGGTTAGCATACAATTAAACAATTTAAAATAGGTGCACTCAAATCTCTTCTTTATATGAAAGCTGTGCAGCTATCTGAAAAATCAATGTTCCTCTTCAGACCACCCACAGCTCTCTGGATCAGAGGAAGTTGTCGTAGAAGTGGAGGCGGTGCTAGTCTTGCAGTGTGATATCTGGGCCAATCCACCAGTCTCATCCGTGTCTTGGACACTAAATGGAAGCACAGTGGATCTAACAGCAGGTGGCTTCACGGTGACCAGTGATGGCTTTACAAGTCAGCTAAGCGCCAACAGCGTGGAGAAAAGCTTGCATGAAGGCACTTATCAGTGCATAGTGAACTCTCCCGTCTATGGAGAAAATAGCAAGTTGTTCAATGTCACAGTAACAGGTAAGTTCACATACAGAAGTGCTCCTCAACTTTGCTAAAGCCACATCTCACTATTGAATAGTCTTACTTGATATGGTATTGCTTTTGTGTAATAGGCATGTGGATTGATTAATCAGTCACTGATATGGAATAAAACAAAAGAGGTTTGATCACCTTCTTCCTCCACATATGTAGAAAAGACCATGAAGTTCCCTCTGATGCCCATGATAGCAGGGCTGGTGGTGGTGTGCCTTACTGCGCTTCTTGCTGTTGTTTCACGATGGGACAAAATTACAAAGGTAACACACAAAACACGTGTACATAAAGCACAAAGACTGATCCTGACTCACTACAAACTGAACCTCCTAATGGTCTGTTTCTCTTCTGACAGTGCTGCAAGTTGTGCCTAAAATAACCGGCCTTTGCTACTTCACCAAATGAGAGAACCCAAGACATCACCACTCTGTATTGTGTGCACAAGACTGGGATTAACCAGTTCTATAGCCTAGTTTTTAATTTGATCTCATTCATAAGGAATGGTTCGACATATTGGGAAATGAGAGTTGGAAGATCAATACCACACTTGTGTCTGTGTAGAAGTGACCACACTTTTCAATGAAAATAACATAATATTATAATATTATACTTGGTTTCAGCGCTTACATAGATGTTTATTATGTTCTGTCCATATAAACAATGCACCAAATGCCTGAATTCAGCACTGTTTTGCCTGTATGTGTGTCAGTCAATCAATGTGTCAGTGTCAAGGCTGTTGCTAGCCTATGCCAGGAACATAGCTTGCAGCTGGCTCTTTCTGACAGAACCTGTTAGCATGCTAATGAAGCTACAGTACAGCCAGTATCTGGTTAGCTTAACTTAGAACAAAGACTGGAATCAAAGGAAAACAGCTAGCCTGGGTCTGTCCAAAGGGAACCCCCATAAAGTCTTTGTCCTATGCTAAGGTATAACCAGTTTTTGGCAGTAGTTTCATACTTACCGTACAATCATCTCATCTCATCTCACTCATCTCATCTTCTAAATAGGCTACAGTGTTCCTGTGTAGACTAACCACTAAATATAAAAGGAAGCGATTAAATTGACTGCACTGCAGTCCCTTATTTGTAATGTCTGATGTCCTATGTATTTCTTTTGTTGTTTGGTTAAATGTTGTGTTTTGTTATTTATGTGAAACAGTGCACATCTTGGGAATATTTTGATAATCAACTAAAATCAAATCAAATCTAACTGCTTGCAAATAAGCACATTTCCATCTATGCAGTATGCTATCTACTGTATTAGTTGTTGATTATGGCATGAGTAACTGTGATGTTTGCAATATGACCTTGAGATCATCCTTAAACCTGTTACTTTTCATAGTGTGGTGCACCCTGACCCTGTGACTAAAAGTAGGTTTTAACACTCCACTGCCTGTTTTCTTGTTAATATCTTTGCAATAAAAGTTCTTCTGTTTCCTCACCAAAAGAAGTGAAAGCACACTGGCATCGTGGGGACAGGAAATCTTGACGCCTCAAGTTCAATTGTAGGTGTGATGGTTATGTTTGAGGCCCCTGTTTTAAAACACTGTGTTGTTATAGCTCTTGAGGACCACTGCTTTCTGAAACAACCACAGTTGATTATTTGTGACACATTTTTTAACAAAGTCATTCCATGTTTATGCATTGGCAATTTTACACACATTAGCTTACCATTTTCTTTTTGCTAGTGTTATAAATGCATGTAGTATGCCCAGTTGTGTTTCCACTTAGCTGACTAAAAATAATAATGTTCCAAGTTAAAAGGAAAACTATTGTTCTTTAAAAGAAACAAGAACTTGTATAATACATACCTACCCTGTCTTTTTAAACCTTCCAAAGTAAAAGTACATGTAGGTTTTAGAGACATATCTGTTAAACAGTTTAAACAACAGAATAAACAGGTGTGTATAATAAATGTTCATCAAAGGACTGACTCATGGTCGAAATGTTGGTCTCTAGTTTTCACATTTGCACTGAACTTTAACTTATGACTCAACAATACAATCAAGGCTTGTTAAAATCATGTTATACATTTACTCTTAATGACAAAAAAGGCAGCGACTGTTAAGTCATGAGGGTCAAGGTCTAGGTCTCTGTGTTCTTCCCATAAAGAAACACTTAACAGGATCACATAAAACAGTGCAATACCAAACGAGGATGGTAGCACGTTTGACAAGATTGCACAGGTGTGAGATCAGCAAAGTAGTTATCAAATTCACAGAATAAAGACAGCTTATTCTCTTAGTGAAGGCTTTTATTTTGAAAGAAGCAGCTTGGTCATGCCTGCGATCTATAGTTAAGAATTTACATATTTGGTCGCTTTCTGTGTCAGGCTTTTCAGTCCAAAGGTCTGTAAATATTAATAATGTAAAGTCTAATTAATCACTATTGGTAAATTCTGAGAGATCACTGTCAGCTAGACAAATGTTTTAAAACAATAATGAAAAGACAGACTTCTCTCTACTTCAAAGTATCATGTGCTAATAACATGCCAAAAGGAGAACGTGAATGTGGCACAAAAGCTATGGTTTGTTTGTCATTTAGGTTTTAGAACAAACACACCATATGCAAAAATACAAAACAGTTGATCTCAACATTTAGACAAAAGAAGACAAACGGAGGTATTGATGATTCACTAATGACTAGTTTTAGACATAGAGAAGTTGTACCTATTGCATCTATTTAACAGCCCGTTTTGTTTCATTAAAATGTCAGAAATAGTTTATGCAAAACACATTTTTCACAAATTGTTTGGCGAGACAACAGAAGAAAAAACAGAGTCAGATTTAAAGAAAAGTGGAACCATGGGCTTGTTAATGCCTTTATTAAATCACCACAGACAAAAACTAAAAAGATGGATGAAAATATCAAAGCACTGGTGCTAGAAAGCATTTCCCATGCAGGTCTGCAGTGACATCTGCTGGTCAATTTACTTTAAACCCTTTTCTAGCCATCACGATAAAATATTTGTGTACATGGGCAAATAAAAATAAAAGCTTCACACTGTTGACTGATAAATGGCAACATTTAGTGACTTTTTGTCCTCCTGTTGATGTCAATAGGTTGCACAGTCCAACAGGACAGATTGTGTATTCAGGTATTGGTTTAATTGAACCTTTAACCAGATATTTCCATTGAGATTTAGAATGATGTGAGATGTGAGAATTACATTACATTACATATAAGGTATTTCAGAATAAAAGAAGCATCAAGGTAAAAGAGAAGATTGCTAACCACATAAGCAAACAACATAAATCTGAGGGTGCAAATGACATTACGTTATTAAAAACACAACCCCATATATCATTATAATCGTTATATAATTCAAATAAATATTGATAGTAGAACAAGAAGGCTTTGTTATATTGAAATGTGTTGAATTGAGATGTGTTTATCGTTTTCTGTCTTCCTTATGTGTCTAAATGGGGTAGACAAAAGTGAAACACTAACTGGCCTCAAAACCTACCAAGTTGAATCAACATCTGTCTCAGGCCAACTCAATAAAAACTTAACATTATAAACCTCACAAAGATAAGCTTTATTGCTGGACTGTTATATTGGATTGCATTAGATTGTTATTTGTGGTATAAACAGAGTATAATCTACATTAGCATGTATTAAACTGTATATATAATGTATGTTGGCAAGATATATCAGAAAGGTTGTGACATTGAGATGATGATGATGATGAGTAATGGTAATCTCCCAGGATTTTATCTGTTTTATTACAGGAATGTATGCAATGAATCTCAATTTTTCAAGCTTTTACTTACTCAAAAAATGAGGAGACACAAAAACTAAAAACAAGGTACTGTAGATGACCATTGTCGTCAAGGCTTCCTGATTTCTTTTGTCCGTATTGGGTTTTTAAGTGATGTCTCATCTCAGTCTTGAACTGATATATGTTGGTTTTCTTTGTAAGAAAATTTCTGTGAATTAATCTTCCATTCCATTAATTATTTCCATAAACTGGACAGTCATATGTGATTTTTTATGTACACATCCAGTAAAACAAAAGGCCTACACAAAATATGTATTCAGCATAATAGCAGTTCTGTTACATCTATTTACAACCACAATTATAACATCAAGATTTGGGCTAGGCCGATAATCCTGCAGTCCTAATATAAAGTGGCCACACAGAAGGTCTCTCTCTCCTGTAAAGAGGCATAACAGCCAATGGAGGGAAAGCAAAAGTGCTGCAGCAGCATGACAGACTCCGGGTCAGGATTAAACAGAGCTATTTTCGGTTCTCACTTATTATTTTTCAAATAAAACAAATGCTTGTGCTGGAAATTGAGTGTTTATTTTACAATATAATGTAACAATTATACATTATTTCAGAGTTTCGTTAATGCACCTAAATTCAGTTAAAGCCATTGTACTCTTTGCTTACTCTTAACATGTTTGTTTTTTAAGCTGGTCTCAGTTTCTGACAGGGTGTTTTATGTCGTCTTAAAGCAACATTATGTAAGATTTGGTACGATTTGGCACCCTTCCGTTATTAAGGACAGCTGTGCATTTGTTACGATTGCATTACTTCAAAAACTAGCAGGTCAACATCTTTGCTAATACAGCCAAACATCAAGCAAGTGCGAGAACACAAGACATTGCAATACTTACTAGTCTAACTGTGTACACAGAACAAATGCCAGCTTCTGTCTTGTGGCCTTTTATTTCAGGAAATTCTCACCAACGTCCAGAAGCCTCTTGCTTTGGTTGCTTTAACTCTGTCATTAGCTAATGTTATGTCCATAGAGGATGCTGAGCCCTGTTTTGTTCCAGCAGCATAATGTCGCTTGAAACTTTCCATTGGTGTCAATCAGACAGGCTTAGGCCTATGTGGAGATCACATTACTTCCTGTTTTGTTGGCACACAGGAAGTTTTTTAACTTATATATATATAACTTAGGCCTTATTGGGATTATAAAAAGTATGTTTTGCATATTTCATGATTTGGCAACCTAGGTTTTGCACATTTCGCAATTTTGGGAAAATAAATTATAGTCAATAACAGGCGAGACAAATATCACGAGATGCAGTTCAATTCAGGGAACACGTGCATATAAGGTATTTGAATGTGCAACGTATGATGCATGAGTTCCGGGCCAAAACACCTGCTGGCCGTCATTTGTAATTTTCGGCGTTTGCCATGTTTGCCATTCTGTGGCATAGTTAGTTCCATGATGAACAGGAACTTTGACTGTGGGAACTAGACCCACGCGATCAGGTCTGGCCAGAAGTTATTTGTAATTATCTTAGGTGGAAAGATCAACTTGCATTTTCCAGTCCAGCATTCGGCAGGGTCGATTCCATCCTTGCAGTTGACTTCACTGGAAGTTGTCCTTCTCTTATGAAGGCGGTGGTTTTTGAGAATCCAGGCCTTGGGGGAGAGAGGGCATTGGTGATAATTCTCTTTCCTTCCAAGGTAATCGCTAGTTGTCTCCGGACCTGGTTGTGCCTCCAACCTGGGAAAGACTGGTTTTGCAGCCGATGAGGATATGCCTCAGTGTTGCTGGTGTTTGACAAAGAGGACATGTTGAATCCTCTCCAACCCACTGTTATAGATTCTTGGGTGTGGGAAGAACATCATAGGTAGATGATGAAGCTAATTCTGCTTCCTTTCATCTCCCAGAGATCATTCCAGGTGAGCTTACGATGCTCCAGGTTGTCCCAGTTAGTCCATTGGCCCCATTTCGACTACGAGACTCCCTTTGTGCATAGTGCTGCAGGATCATGGCTACTACCAGCTTTCTTCTCTGGGCAGATGTTGCCTCATGCCATGTGGGTCAACTCGTCCCGAGCCATAAGTCCTCTTCCCTGCTGCACCTGTCCTACAATGTCTTCATCGTGTCTTCTGCGGTTCTGGGAGCAGCCACTTGTATCATCACATCGTGAGACTCATTCGGGGTCATGGCCAGCCTCAATTTGGCTAGAGGGCTGACATTGCTGAGGCAACGCAGGAGACAAGAGGTAACATCAAACAGGGGAGCAATCTGAACTGCAGGCACCACAGTTTCAACTCGCCAGGAAGCAAGGCCTTTAATGACATCAAACAGTTTCTCTGTGTTGCTTTATCAATGCAAATTGTATAATATCAGCGAACACTCTCAATGATGTCTTCAAATTCTGGCGTGTAAAATTTATTAAGCTTTTACGTTGACACGTCCAAGTCTGTATTAATGATTTTGATCATGTTTTATCAGTTTTATGGAATCCATATTTAGTCTATTGTAGTCTATTATCTGCATTATGTCAAAGTCCTAAAAATGAAAAAATGGACAAATTTAACTTTATTATAGGCAGTATTATCTTCTAATGGGCTACATTAGTGATTCTCAAAATGGGGTCCAGTTCCTCAGGGTGTTCAAGGGGGTGCCCAGCAAAGAGAGGAATAATTTATTTTCACTATATTTTCATCCATAATTAACACAATGACAGAATGTATTAGTATTTTGGTCACGGCGTTCATACACTTTCTGTAATAAAACAACTAAAAGCTAAAACCCTATCAGATGGTGGCCCGTGGTGTAAAGAAGTTTCAGAACCAGTGGGACGACGTCACATTAATAGTTTTTGTCACCTGCATGTCGATTTTAAACTTTCAAGACATTGTGCTGCATTTTGTTTGTTAGTCCTTTTATATAGTGTAAGATTTACTGAAGAGCACTTTATAATTTATTGTTTTTAAAGGGGGTCAAGAAGAAGAAGAAAGTTTGGGGTGGTGATGGAGCAGTGGGTAAGACACATGCCGTTGGTGTGTGAGACCCGGCTTCCACCAATGTGTCCCTAAGACACCTAACCCCTAGTTGCTCCAGAGCCGAGTGACCTCTGACATAATTAGCAATTGTAAGTCGCTTGGATAAAAGTGTCAGCTAAATGAATAAATCGAATTTAATTTTTATGATTGCTTTTGTATTAGGCCCCTCTGTATATTGTCTGATACTTAGTGGAAGTGAGTTACAAATACAATTTAACTTTACAGCCTATTGTAATGTGACAAATAAACCTACCATATCTTGTAACAATACTACTACTTACTACTACTACTACTACTAATAATAATAATAATAATAATAAGAAGAAGAAGAAGAAGAAGAAGAAGAAGAAGAAGAAAAATAATTTAAAAAAGGTGTTAGTGCATTATTAATAATAAAATATTATTTGTGTTCTACTTAAAAAGATCAATACTAATTAAGATGTTTTAAAATTATATTTTCACAAAATGAAAATGTATTTTGATAACATGCCTGACATGAATCTCTTTAGGAATGATGCCATACGTCTTGTAAATTATAAAATCACATTTATTCCCAAATACCATTTATTCAAATAGGACAGACATAGAAGTTTTGTAATGGTATCAGGTTTTTGTTTCAATAAAAATTAAATATTATATTTCAATGTCCACCGGTGGTAGCGCATCCGAGGCTGATCCGAGGCATTTACGTCATCCCGATCAACTGTGCACGCCACGACTTAACGTCTTACGTTATTTAGGGAGCTTTGCGTGAAGGGCGTGGTATTAGCCTGCGGTCTGCGGTCCACCGCCAAATTCAAACAGTGAAAGAAAGAAACGACAGAAGCAGGCAGCGAAAGCACAGAGGACAGACACAGCTATACTTCCAGGTAAGCCAGCGGTAGACGGTTGGATAGCTGGTGTCCTTTCGTCTTTTCAAATTTATTCAACGCAACATTAGACTTCATTTGGTGTGAATGCGGTATGCTAACGTTAGCTGACGCTGTAACGTTAACGTTACTCATTGCAGATAAACAATCGGCGCCTTTGCGAGCACAGCCCTCTTTTTGTTGTTTGTTAATGGCTATCATTACTTGAAGACGTTTCATTGTTAAGAGTGTGAAGCTGTAACTTAACTGTTAACTGTGATAAATCGCTGCTATCGCTCCTCTGGCTGTGTTGAAGCCATAGCGTTAGTAAGAAGTTAAAACAAGGCAGGGCAGACTGCAAAGCAAGAAATCCTTATCAAACAATAGCCACGAGACTTTCACTAACACGACCAACTGCCGCCTCATTGTGCAGGTTGTTACGGGTCATATTCGCCTTCATTGCCCTTTGTTTATAAACATTTTCACTTTTTTGGTCAGTAACGTTATTGTGAAGTAGTTTTAAAAACTTAAATTCTCTTTTTTTTTTACTTCTACACTAATGACTAATCTATTATTACCAAAGACTAACATTAATGTTTTTTAAATTGATCGTGTCATCACTGAAATGGATTTATAAAATGTGTTTGAGCTGAATGTGATGTTTTCAACAAAAGTACAAAACTCAGACACATTAAATGTGCAATCATATAAATAGAGAAAAGTAGCAAGTCGTGACATTTGAGAAATGATTTGCTTGATAAATGACTCAAATGATTAACCATAGTTTAAATTGGTGCAGACTAATTATCTGCTGCAGTCTCACTGAAATCTGGAGTCATTGGCCTTGCACCTGTGTAAAGCACTTGCTATTAAAAATACTTTAATTATAATTATACATACTCTGCTGCTCTGTTAATCTGTCTAGCAAGAAAGCACAGTCAGCATGGCGTCTTCAGTGATGGATGGAGTTGGTAGAGCTGTGGTGGGAGTCTGGCGGGCACATACAGTCCTGGATGAGTCTGATGGGGTTGAGAGCTCCCCAGAAGCACCCAACCGTTTCCGCAAGCTTCGCTCCTCGTCTTCACTCAACTCTTTGCGGATGTCTTTGCGAAAGCGGCTCCCGCTACGTTCTGTCCAAACCAACTCCCTCCCAGAGAATCCAACTTGGGAACCCCCGAAGAAGCAACCAAACCCCAACACAGTCCGCAAACTCACTCGCAGTGCTCGGAACTCCATCAGTGGAGTTTATCAGGTAGATGGATTGGTTTGGTATACTTTGGTGGGGTCTAGGTGCCAAGGGATTTTGTTTATGAAAATGTACAAGTGATGATGTGTCCCCTCGTCATCATCTCTTCCTTCCCTTGTGTCGTTTTACCCAGAGTCTGCAAAGGACCAGAGAGTTTTCACGTGAAGAGTGTTTGGTAGTGACCCCGGGTCGGACATGTGATGGGGAAGAGGGCGGTGCGTCAACTTCTCGCACCCCAAGACGTACGCCTGGCCGAGCAACACCCAGGCGCACCCCTAGATCAGCAGCCACACCTGGGCGTACCCCAGGGTCTAGAGGAAGAAGGACCCCTGAAGCTGGTGTACGGGGGGTGAAAACAGGAGGCGGAAGGAGGCAGCTGGTCCGCATGGCTGCATTACGAAGTCCCTTTGCCTCCCCCAACACACAGAACCAGAGGCTGTGAGTCTTCCATCATTCAGAGCTTTAGAACCACCTACACAGTTGGATTTGTGATACAGTTTTTTTACCTTTGTTTTCTACTTTCATTTAAGTGTTTGTTTCTCTGCTGTAACAGAAAGTTTGACAGAGATTTGGAGTCAGTATCCAGTGGACTCAAGAGGCTCAAACATCTGTCCAAGGCCTTTGAAAACATTATTAGCAGAGACAACAGGTAAAGCATCTTTATTTTGAATTAAATATATTGATCACTTGGTGTCTGGTAAATAGTGTTTTATTGTTTGGGGTTTTTCTTCTAGCTGTAAATGAATATTGGGTGGAAGACCAATGAAATACTTTTGAAAGCATGTGTATGCTGTAGGCGAATCAGAGTGTTGTGTGTGTTTGAGGAAGCAGTCAATCGGGCCATTTCCTTTTAGTTATATGAATTCTGCTTGGAGGAGACCATAGGCGCAGGCCGACCTCACCCTCCCACCCAAAGAATCTCAGGCTGCAGCGCAGCTTGAGGGGCCCCAGACCTCCTTCCCCTCCCCCGACTCACATTCTTCCCGGGTCAGTTTGAAACTGGGTCTGTGTTTCTGGTATTTGGATGAGGGGGACACAGTAAGGGGAGAGAGTATGGGTGTGGGAATTGGAGCCAGATGAAATGACAAAAATGCACTTGAGAGCACTTGGAGTATGTTTGCATCACTTCCTGTGTTGACATTCAAAATGTTGAATCATGGTCTGGACCGGCCCACAAGGAGTGAGATAGACTGTGAAAAGAACAGATGCACAAAGACCTTGTCTTTTATCGGTGTGCATTACATGCAGCCAACTGCTCTCTTCACTGTATGAACAGCTTGTACTTTGGTAATTTAAACAAGAGTTTGTTTTCCTCCTACAACAGGCGGTTCAACTATTCTCTAATTGCGGAGTAGGGAAGAAGGTAAATCCAAATATCACAAAATGATGCTTCCGAAACCAGATGAGTTGTGAAAACGTATGCTATGTGTAACTAATTGAGTGTAACTAATTTTGTGACATGAAAGCGCATGGCAGAGCTAGCTGGTGCCCATATTTTGATGCATGGAGTGCTGTGTAAATGAAATTGTGAGAGTCTTGGTTTGTCCTTAATGAAAAGCTGCTACTTTATGACTGATGAATAACTCACTGTCCAAGCAAAAGATGTTCTTCTTTAGGGATGTCCTGATCAAGTATTTTTTGCCCCAAATCATTTAATAATGAGTGTCTGCAGATATCAAGCCCTGATCAAGTACATTAGTTATTAAAATCCATCCAATATATGCTTGACTATTGAATAGCTCAAAAAAATGCCAACAACCAAGCTCTTCTTAAATGTTAATTTTAATTTTTTTTTTTTTTTACAAAATAACAAGTAAACAAATGATGTTTTTTTATATGGCTCTTATTACCATTCCAATTATTGCAGCATTGGGTTTTCATTTGTTTGTTTTTTAACAAACTAACTTAAACAACTACTAAGTAAACAAACTAAAAGATGTCTTTATAAAGAAAATGGCTCTTATCAATTCCACTTATTGCAGCATTGTAGTAGTAAAACTAGAACACTCAAATGAGTAATATAATCACAGTTCCACTTTCAAGTGATGTAATAGGTTAACATTCACAGTCACAACAAATAATTCACAGTCACAACAAATAATAATCACAGTTCCGCTTAGTCCAGCATTCAGTAAAACTAAAAAATGAACAGAAATGATCTCAATTCCACTTAAAAGTGGTAGCTTTACTTGAACATAAAGTATCCTCGTGTGTGTGTGTGTGTGTTGTTTCGGTGCAGCCTTTACCTGAGTAAACTTGCTTTATTACATTAGATGTTTATTGTTTAGGTGCTATATCAAATTGGTAGTACTGAACGCAGTTCGGTTACTACCGCCTCGTGAAATGCTCATATTGCAGACATTAAAAGTGGCTGTTGGACTACTTTCGTTTTCCAATTTAAAATATTTCCATACTGTAGACATTTTAGCTGTGTCCTGACACAAACTGTGCTCTCTGTAACGTAGGTTCGTGCTCATTAAAGTCGATACCGATCATTTATAAAATGCCTTGGTTGGCCTTGACTCAGATCTTTGAGATCGGATCGGGACATCCCTACTCTTCTCTAGCAGACTCACACTTCCTTCTTCCTTTACTTCCCTTTGTTTTAGATACTGACTTGTCCTCTGTCCCCTTATCAGTTCTTTAAAGGTAGTGTAAGTACTTTTAGGTCCCTATTTTCTCATAATTTGGTGTCGAAAAGACTAGTAAGTAAAACCTTCGACTGCAAAATATGTGGAAATAGGGCCCAGGTTTAACAATACCAAAACTATCTTTTAAATACTTTCTACATACCATGGTGTCTCTCAGTCTCAGAAATAACCTAAAAATCTAAAAGTGTGATATTCAAGTTCATAAATCACATTGATGTTTGATAAATCTTAAAAATATTGTTTCTCGTTGAGAAAAATATCATAAGTCTCCTGATAGGACCATAACATTAATAATAACAACCACAGACAAACAAGAGAGTAAACAATTTAAACAGTTCAATTTTGTAGATGCACCTATAAAGAGGAGAGAAGTAAATCAATGATTAATTTGTCCCTCTTTTCCATTTGTCTTTGGCATTAATGCCGAGTCGATGCTGCTCATGGACACTTTCGCTCTCCCTCTTTTAAAGCTTTCTGCAGTAAATGTGTCTCTCTCTGTCTCGGTCTCTCCCTCTGTCTGCAGAACCAGTACAAAAGAACATTCTGGAGGAGCGATGATGAGAAAGTTGGACCCCAGCGGTAAACTCAGCCGCTCAAACCTCACACGTAGAGCCACGGACCTCTCAAACACAGTGGGAGGTTGGGCTCACACAGCTGTGAACACTATTCGCAAACCCAACTGAATTACATACACGTGTGTAAAACACAGGACCTCTTGTAACCATGTTTAACATTTATCATTATTGAGGTATCAATGTTACATTTACATGTAGTGTTGTCATGACACTGGGACATGGCAGCTTGTCTTCTTTTCTATATGTACTGTGTCCAAATATTTCTTGTGTGTTTACACGTCTTAGGTTAGCTAGCTGTGGGTAAACTATCCTCATTGTAGCTACCAAAGGGGGTTTTGTATTGTGGTGTATGCACCTGTCATTGCTGCTACAACCAAATGTCTTTGATACATTTTCAAAATACTAATATTGTAGTTTGTTTTCTTACTCTCTGCATAGTCTTTTTGCTAGTTGCTGAAATTTATTTTTAAAAGAGAAGCTGCATACGACCAAAATTGTATCTGCATAATTAACACTAAATTTACTGACGGAGGAAGATCCATTATCCTCTATTTTATATGTATGCAATAAATTAACTAACATTTGTTATGAGTTTTTAAATGTCATTTGATAATGCCAAATTGTAAAGTGTATTTTCTATAAAAGGGGACTTTTTTATATGTAGCTTAGGCAGGATTTGAATGGGATTTTCATATCTTTCTTAATGGCCTGTGGATGACTCATGCACCAATACTGTACACACAAATCATTTGATAATGTGATGGGGTGAAGATGTAACGACTCATTACCTGATGACAACAATGATGATGTTATAAAGCAATATCCAGCAGATTATTAGTGTAGTGACTGTCCATTTCCATGTATTAGTACCCCCTTATCTGTAGTAATGAGCGAAGGGGGGACATTGTGCCTAAATGTGAAAAAATAAAATAAACCCTGTTAGTTTAAACAATCCAGAAGCCTTGTCTTTAATGTCACTATTGCAACACATGGTAATTGTAATTTGGGCTGCTGTAACAAAATAATAGCTTCCTGTTTGAGACAATGCAGGCATTCTTTCAAATTAAATGATGTGGGAGGTTATTGTTGTAATATTCAGTATGTATGTCCATAATACGTATACTGGTTTGAACCAGATCCTCAGCACATACAATTCACTTTTTATGCAATTGCAATATTTCATAGAATAATCCAAACATGAGTCAAGTGTAGTTGACAGTGGGTGAAAAAATGTCATTGGGTGGGATTGTATAGGCTATTATTTGCTTTTTTCGAGTTTGTCTGGTTGTTCCGATGTTGGTCAATTATTTGAATTCCAATAGATACATTGACCACTCGTGCTTATGGCTCCACATAACTTTTAAACTGAGCAACGACTGAAAATGTTTTTCAAAAAGGTACATGAATGGTAATATGAAAATAGCGACACAGTTATGGAGGACGGAGTGAGTATCTTAAAAGTTGTAAATGCTTCTTAATGCCTAATCCAGTGATATATAATCGAACTGACTGTGACTGTGACTGACTGTGTGACTATGCCGCATAATGAGGTCTTTTACTTTTGATAATTTTATTACTATATTTTATAGATAATTTATCTTTCCTGATTTTAAATGATTTTACAAATAAATAAAGAAAAGATTTTTGGTGGGGGATATATAGCCATATTATACTTTTTTATATAGGCCTACTTTATTAGCAAAGACAATGAACACGGACAACCAATAGTCGTTAAAACAAATACAGACGACATGAACAGAGCCAGAGAGAGTTTTAAACAAAGAACAAATGAAGCGTTTTCATAGCTTTCTTATTTTTGGAATCAGAAATGTTATTAATGCAGTGCTCAGATTCCTTTTCAAAGTCTATAAATAAAGGTTTGGACTGATTAAAGTTGGCTTTGTGGATATGAAACGATCAAAAGATTCATTAGGAATAATTCTTTCTGTTTATGTTACTGTTATTGTGAAAGCCAAACAAACAAAAGTAGATTTTTCCAACAAAGAGAAAATTCAGAGTCAGTGTTACCAATAATATATTGAGACAAATCTTTCCAGAATCTGCTAGAGAGAGGACATTGCCAGAACAGGTGTATTATTGTCTCTGGTTACAATTCACAGAATAAACTATTAACACGTTAAGTCTCCATTGAGTTTTGTCTCCATTAAGTCTGCGACAAAAGTGGCTAGCAGGAGCTCCTTTACTTTATTAGTAAGGAGGCACTATTTGCTGAATGTTACGATTGCCTATCTTTATGTATAACCATATAACCCATAAAGGCAACAATCGTGACGTGACGCAGCAGGTGAAATGAGAATCGCTCAGTTTTGTCCCTTGTTGTTACCCGTCCTCCGCTCCACGCCTTGCTGAAATCGCTCCTCCTCGGTCTCTCCGGCTTTGTACCCAGAGCTGAACCCACGCCGCGGCTACCTTCTCTAGGATACCGGGGCAGATAAACATCGGAAAATGGCTCTCCATGTACCCAAAGCGCCGGGCTTTGCCCAGATGTTGAAGGATGGCGCCAAGGTAAGGTTTAGTCAGTGTTTTGGAGTAGTTGGGTAGTTTTGAGTGTTTGCTTGTGAACTAGCATGCTAGCTAGCGTTAGCCCCGGAGTTAGCACACTCATTCACTGTCATGTGGGAGATTTCTAGAAGGCAGCCAGGCCGCTCCGAGCTACTGCTGGACCCGGGGCTGTTGTGATAGACTTAAGGCTAGTTTCTGCGTTTTTTCACTGCTCTTTCTAGCACGTAAACATGCTGTATATGACTGCAGTGTTAACTAGCAGTCACACCCTTAGTTAACTGTCAGAGCCGAGGCTTTGTCCGTGGCTGCTCATTGATGCTGATGCTTCCTGTTTTGGGTTAGCTTAGTTTAATTCAACTCTTACGTTTATCGTTTGCCTACATTATTGTCTAAAATAATCATTACACCCCCGTTTCCATTAAATTCTTTTTATACTGTTTGTTTCCCATTAGTTATTTGACAGTAGTAGTATTTGGAGTACCAATGTAATGCACCTCTCTTGTAAAGTCACGTGTTATTATTTTATTCTCTGATGCAGCACTATTCAGGGCTTGAAGAGGCAGTCTATCGTAACATCAGAGCCTGTAAGGAGCTTTCTCAGACAACACGCACCGCTTATGGACCAAACGGTAAGCAGTCACCTCCTACACTAAGAGAGATTTGTATTTGTAAGTCTTGTCTTGTTTGTGTTTCTACCTCTCATTACAAAATTAGTGCTGGCTAAATGGTGACATTGTCACTTTTCAGGTATGAACAAGATGGTCATCAACCACTTGGAGAAGCTGTTTGTCACCAATGACGCCGCAACAATTCTCAGAGAGTTGGAGGTGAGGAAACCTTAATTTCTTGTGCAACACACTGTGTACAGGAAATTATTTATAAAGGAGTCAATTTAACAGTTTTTGTGAACAACACTTTGTTTTATAGGTGCAGCACCCAGCAGCCAAAATGATCGTGATGGCCTCCCACATGCAAGAGCAGGAGGTTGGAGACGGTACAAATTTTGTCCTGGTGTTCGCTGGAGCTCTGCTGGAGCTGGCTGAAGAGCTGCTCAGGATGGGTCTTTCTGTGTCAGAGGTAAACAAATTGTAGTCACTGATTGTCATAATTTTCTTATTGAAACTTGAGTAAGCGTTACACTTGTGGAAAAACAACACAAATGTCCTGTACATACATTTTAGCATCCCAAAGAAGTGAATCACTGCAGTTGCTCAGTGTCTCCTTTCCTCTCTGCCGCAGGTGATTGAAGGCTATGACAAAGCATGTAAAAAGGCTCTGGAGATCCTGCCAGACTGCGTATGTTCCTCAGCCAACAACCTTCATGATGTTAAAGAGGCGACATCTCTCATCCGTACGGCAGTCATCAGTAAACAGTACGGCCACGAAGACTTCCTCGCCAACCTCATCGCACAGGCCTGTGGTGAGTCAGCAATCCAGACAGCTGATACCAGCCTAGGGCAAACAGCTGTCAAACATAATTTGTTAGTATTCATTTTTAATTTCTCTGACTTTCTTTTCTTTACCGGTTTGTGCTACAGTGTCCATCTTCCCACAGTCTGGCAATTTTAATGTTGATAACGTCAGAGTATGCAAGATTTTGGTGAGTAGCATTATCATCTGAATATGTTTTGCCTCTCTTTGTGTGTGAGTGTTGTTTGCCTCTAAGTTAATGTCTGTGGTGTTTTCAGGGTTGTGGGGTGACATCATCCTCCATGCTGCATGGCATGGTTTTTAAGAAGGAGGCAGAGGGTGACATCACATCAGTTAAAGATGCCAAGATCGCTGTCTTCTCCTGCCCTTTTGACTGCACCGTGACAGAGACCAAGGTAATGTGTGTTTTTTATTTATTTTTTTTCAATCTCCTATTAATTTTGGGTCAGTTTTAAATATGACACATTTCACATTTGGCCTAAAATAATGGGCTAAAAGTTCTGAATCTTTTTCACCTCTCCAAAGAGAAGAGACACAAGTGGTAATTTTGTAATTGCAGAAAAGATTGTGACATTTTATTAAGGCTACATTTGTTAACTACTATTCAGGAAAATGTCAAATTTAGAAAAGTGAAAGTGTTTTAGGGTTTTTTTCTGTTTCAGTTACTGGGATGTTTTGAAAAACGTGGATCCGTTATTAATGTTAATAGTAACGCCTGTGCTTTTCCTACTATGACAAGTCAAAATGTCTGCTGTGAAAAGGGCCTGTTGTCTGGGCTTTGTAAAGTTATGTGAAGGTACCGATCTTGGTGCTAACAATAGACTTATCTATCGCGTAGGGCACAGTGCTGATAAATAACGCACAGGAGCTCATGGACTTCAGTAAGGGAGAGGAGGATATGATGGAGGCTCAGGTGAAGGCCATCAAGGAGGCTGGTGCCAACGTGGTGGTAACTGGAGGAAAAGTGGCTGACATGGCGCTGCACTACGCCAACAAGTACCAGCTCATGGTGGTCAGGTAAGAAATTAAGTGTTATCAATTATCAAGTGATCAGAGATAGTAATTACCAAAAGCACATAGTGTGATCTAAATGGGCTAACATGAGAGAGGGCTATTAGTGGTATTGGCGTTGTTGTTGCAAAGTGACCTACACGCATACCTCCACCTTATGTGACTGACATTAGTTCAGGATAGTATGGTAAATGTGCAGGTTTTACATGGATGGATGATTTACAATGGATGTCATTTTCCGTATACCTTTTTAAATAAAAGATTTGTCATCAAAAAGAGAGACAGATTTCAGTATGCAAAATACATACAGTAATGTTCCTTCCAGTGCTGGAAAAAAAAATATTATAAGATTATTTGATTAAAACCACCACCAGTGTGATGTCTTTCATCTTTCCTCATAATAAACGTCTGGGGTTATTATCAAATATAACTGTCATTATCATGTGTATTTTTTTTTTTTTTTTTTACAAAAAATGTGTCAATACACACATGATATCTAATAATAATAATAATCTACAGAATTATTACTATTGTGGTGTGTACTGTGTACATCCCAGCCCTAAATTCTCCTCTTCCCCATTAGGCTTAACTCAAAGTGGGACCTCAGGAGGTTATGCAAGACTGTGGGAGCTGTAGCACTGCCCAGGATGGTGAGTGTCATGTTTCATTCAGATCAGGTATTTGAACCATAATAAAAGGGACCATTACATCATGTATGATGATTCATTTCTGCTTCCCTAGACGGCGCCAACTCCAGAGGAGATGGGTCACTGTGACAGTGTGTACCTGACAGAGGTGGGGGACACTCAGGTGGTGGTCTTCAAACATGGTAAATCACTCTTATGAGTCTTCATTTTAAACATGGTCTTTGCTCCGTCTTGAGTTTTAGGCTTAACATGTTCGGTCTTGATTGAACAGAGAAAGAGGACGGTGCCATCTCAACGGTGGTGATAAGAGGTTCCACTGACAACCTGATGGATGACATTGAAAGGGCTATAGATGATGGAGTCAACACCTTCAAGGTTCTGGTCAGGGTAAGTCGACATAATACTTCACTGTAGGATTATTTTTTTTTTTTTTTTTTTTTTTTTTTTTTTGCAGCTGTGGTAAAAAAATAATAATAATAAAAAAAAAAAATCTAAATTAAAAATCTGTCAAAAAATGGTATTTTTTGTTCGCAGAGAAGAGAAATATGCCACATTGCTAATGCCTGCAGAGTCTTAGTATTTAAGTGCAACTCTTTAATCTACTGTTTGACCCGCACAACCTTACAGTTTGTGTCTAATTCTCCATGTATAGGACAAACGACTGGTACCTGGAGCAGGAGCCACTGAAATTGAGCTGGCCAAACAGCTCACCTCATATGGAGAGGTATGTAGATTTGAGTACATTAACTGAAGTGCACCAGGTTCAGACTAATGCCTCTTGGTGTTGCCCTTTTTTCTTTACTGTTTCACCTTCTGCAGACACATTAATTTATTTATTTATTTATTTACCCCCTCTCTGTAGTCCTGCCCAGGTCTGGATCAGTATGCCATTAAAAAGTTTGCTGAAGCCTTCGAGGCTTTGCCCCGTGCGCTGGCAGAGAACTCTGGTGTGAAGGGGAGTGAGCTCATCTCTAAACTCTACTCTGCACATCATGAGGGAAACAAAAACATAGGCTTTGACATTGAGGTGTGTATGTGAACATGAGATTAACTTAATGACTTGATTATGATTTCATTGGAGTGTTGTCAGTCTGAAATGTAAAATACATTTTAAATACAGTACTTAATGGCATTTAACATTCTGATATGTGGCCTTTTATTATGTTACGTTTGTGGCTATTATAGTTCAAATGGGTGCAAGTACAAAAATTAATTTTAGTTTTCGGTTTTCCTGAATACAGAGCAACCCATTAAATTCTTTTGTTTGTTTTTTTGATGTTGTCTTTAGGGAGAAGGCCCCGCTGTGAAGGACATGCTTGAATGTGGCATTGTGGAGCCTTACCTGGTAAAACACTGGGGCATCAAACTGGCCACCAACGCTGCCATCACAGTACTGAGAGTTGATCAGGTGTGTACTCAAACACATAAATACTCGTGACGCAAAGGTAGCCACAAAGAAGGAAATAGGTTATGTGCAAATTCCAATTCATGCACATTGAATGCTTTTGAAGGTACAATGTGTAAGATATGGCAAGAATTTAAAATTTTAAACAGTTCTGACGTCATGTCAAAGACGAGTTAGCATGCCAACCAGCTTAAACCTGAATTCAAGTTTTTGTCTTTCACTGAACTTAATGTCTGATTAAGTCAGCTTAAGAAGCAGTTATGACCTGATAAGTGATAAGCTGCTCCCTATTTCTTTTGGCGTATGAATTCAAGAAGTGGAGCGTTGTCTCAATGCCTTCACATTGTACCTTGTGTTTTTCTTCAACAAATTTTATGAGAAGAGAAAACAAAAACAAAGCATCCGTCTCCTACTTTCAGACTTTCTCTCCCTGCCTGTGGAACTCTGCTCAAAGCCTTCCCATCAATCTGCAGACAGAAATGATTAGCTGTATTTTGCTTTGCTATTTTTTTTCTTCATCATTGATAAATTGGATAATTTATTCTAAAATCATGATCATTTTAATTTACCTCGAGTGTTTTAACTTTTTGAGCTGAAATCTGTGGCGTGTAGCAGATTCAGGTACAACACATCAAATCTGGTCTTTACATTCAAAACTTTTTTTTTTTTGTCTTAATGAAACATCTGGGTTTAACATTTCCTCTTTCTCATCAGGTTCATACACACAAGGCAGTGTTTTTTTAAATTTGTTATAAAGCTAATGTTCTTGTTAAATTCAGCAGGTGCTGTGTTATGGGGGACTATGTGAATGAATAGAATCCGGGTAGTTAACGTTTGTGTGTGTGTATATATGATGCAGATCATCATGGCTAAGGCTGCAGGGGGACCCAAGGCTCCCAAGCAGAGAGGCCATTGGGACAAGGACGATTGGGACGAAGCGCCTGATAATTTTGAAACTCACCACTAGAGGGCACACACACACACACACCCTCTCTGTCAGTAGGTCCTGGAATGTGTGTGTTTTTTGACTCAGAAAACTCACTTGGATGTACTCACTCGCTCACGGGACACTGAAGTTGTGAAATGTTTTGTTCTTTTGCCTGTCACTACTAATACTGGGTGTGATACACAACTCACTGCAGAGAAATGTTGTAAAGCTGAAGCAGATAGTCTAATGGGATTAAATCACACTCAGGTGTGTCACTAAGTCTAAACCTGCACAAAACCGATACGTGTTGTTTGGTAGCATGCTGCATGCCCTCTTCTCATTGTAGTGGATGTCCTCAGGCAAGTGAAGAATAAAAACAAAATGGTGCATGGAACATAACTGTGTATATAAAGGGACCATGTAAATGAGATGCAGGGCTCCAGAGGTTGAAGTGGATTTGTTGTGTGAAGGTCATTTTCCTAATAAGATGTACTCCAATGACTTTGAAGCCATTGTACAAGTCTCTGGATCTCAGCTTACTCCCTCACTTCCATATAGAAGTCTCAGTTTATTTACACCACCTTCAAGAAAATCCCAAACCAGTCTATTTCTCGTGGCCATTTAATCTTATTTTTTAAAAAGCATTCATTGCATTTTTCCTTCTTACAGCCTCTATCGCTGTATGAGGTCATGAATACTTAATAACCATAAATGGCCCTCCTTGGTATCTGAGATATTTAAATCAACTATTTTACTTTGAAAATATGTCATTATTTGAAAGTTTCGGCAAATAATTTTGGGCACAGTTTGTTTTTTTTCTGTGTTTGTATTTGTGCTGTGGCAAATATTTCAGTTGAAATTGCTGAAAAGGGGGAAAAAACCTAATGGCACCTAAACTGACACATAGTTCATGGTGTTACATTCTTCAAGCAGTTCATTTAGTTACACTCAAACAGGCATGTTTGAGTGTCAAAGTTGATAACTTGCCTCATTGCCCCACAGCCTGCTGCGTTGATCTCACTTCTCTTGATTGAGGACTGACATGACTGACTGAACGCTACCTTTTCTCCTTTCAGATCATCATGGCCAAACCAGCAGGGGGACCCAAACCTCCCCAGGGCAAAAAGGACTTCGATGAGGACGATTAAGTCTGATGCTGTCCAGCGGATGCTCCTTTTTAACCCTGACCGCTACCACATGCATTCACAAAATCCTTTTTTTCTAGTTTATTTAAAGCTCAACTGTTTGGGTTATTTCATAGAAATGACCATACATTGGTAAATATGTGAAAGTAAAATGTACGGATGGCACTGTTTGCTTTTTTTGTGTGTTCTCAGTCCCAAATAAAAGGCACTTTCGCTGTCATGTCTTGCTTTGGATTCTGTTTTACTCAGCCACGTTCGGTAATTGTAATGCTTTGTGTTGGCAGTTCGCATTGCTGGAGATATTGGTTAAGTCACAGATTAGAATTTTTTTTATCTTTGAGTTTTATAGTCATTCAATTCTTTAGACAAATTAACGTTAGGGTGGGGTTGGTGCCGTTGGTCCAGTTTTGGACATTTCCTGTCAGTTGACCCCATCCTGTTAAGTTGCACCTTTTTGCTTTGTATGCCACAAAATGCATGACTTCACCTTTCAGTGCCCTGTGGTGTTTGCTCTTAATATGGTGTTGAGGCAGCAGAAATTATGCATGCACTGGTTTTATTTTTAGAACAAGTGAACGGAAGAATTGAATGGAGAGGTCGATTGAAGATGCATCACAAGGTGCCACAGAATTCATGGTGTTACTGCTGCGTGATTTATAGGATTGATGTCTGTGGCTGTGATTAGAGGGCAGCAGGGGGAGCTCAACTCCACCAGGTTGCAGTCTCATTGGATGGCAAATATGTGGGCGGATTTGCGCTGACGTTGCCCATACTCGGGATTAACTTGTTTTTATGTCGCCATATCTGTCACGTTTTGCACCGGAGAGCCTGATAAACCGCACATTTTTGCTGTGCAGTATTAATTCGCTTCTTGAAACCACAAATTAGTCTGTGTGTTGTGCATGAAAGTCTGGATAGGCGACCGTGAAGTGCCTGGATGAGGAGCAGGTGTCGCACCGAACAGATGTCCTGCTGTCACACTGATGGGGGCCGACGGCAGTAAAAACAGGAAGGTGAGTGGAGTGAAATTCCTGTTTGCTAAGGTGTGACGCACTTAGGCAAGGGAGGGGGGTTCCCGAAATCCCCAGGTGGTAACGATGGGTCAGACCTGGATGGCAGCGTTTTAACGTATCCTTTAGCGGCATATGAACTAAAGTGTAATCACATTGCGTAGTTAATTAACATTACACTTTATAATATCCCTTAAAACATTTTCTGTTGTCTTCCAAGGTACTTGTAATAGCTATGCTTTTACTTTGAAGGCATATCGACAAGCTTCCGGTATTGACATCTAAAAATCTATTGGTACTTTTATTATCACATACTGTCCAAATTAAATCCTAACGTTGCTGAGTCTTTTGTCAGATGTCACGCGCATGTCGCATTGATGGCAGTTGTTTCTGCTGAGTGACTATATATGTCCCCTAATTTGGCTCGGATGATAATAACATCCTGCATGGTTGATTACACACATCTTGCACCACAGAGCATCTGATCTGCTGTGCAGGGGAGAGGGGCTCTGTGAGAGAGTGACTGCAGATCAGATGTAGACCGAGCATTGTTTTGCCCTCTTATTAATCACAAATGAGAGCAGGGATGGTTTTGAGTGAAACCTGGTGTATTTTAGGGGGTTTGCACAACTGCACAAGTTCACAAAATCACCAGGATGGGGGTTGATAGCAGCATACTACCCTGACATCCATAACCTCTGGTGTAAGTTAGACTGATCATTTTGCTAATGTAGACAACAACCATGCAGTGGTAAATTATTTCTAGAAGAACAGATTGTAGTTTGTATATTAGTTCTTGCAGCCACAGGTAATTCTGAGAGGCGAAGGAAATCAGTCACTGAAGTAGATTTGGACAATGCAGATTGGTGGAAAATAAGTGATTCAGAAATTGTCTTTCATAGAGAATACTGCATATGTGGAGCTAAAGAGCTGGAAACATACTGTAATCCAACAGCAGAAGAGATGAGTTTGCACTGAGCAGCTCCCCAGTGTGTGTATATGAAGCAATGCTTAGGTAACTTCCCCTGGTTAAACAGGGGGATACATGTGTTTTAAAAGCCTCCCTTTGTCCTGCATTGTTCATACAGCATTGTTGGCTCATGAGTTGAATTCCCAAAAGGTCAAGAAAGAGAAGAATGTTGCTTTTAGCAGTGCACGCCTACCTCGATATGTGTTACTTGCTCTTGCGTGAAACACAGTGTCCGGTGAAAAGTCCCCGGATTATCAGTGTTTGTCAGCTTTAGGCTGTAGACGTTGGTTGAAACATACAGAAATGCCAGTGAGTTCAAATGTTCACTGTCATGATGCATAATCAGGGTAACTCCACAGAGCCGTAAACTTCTCTTCTTCCTGTCTCCCCTACAGAGGCACGCTGAAGGGCAGGAGGATGAGGATTTCTCATCTGGATGGCGTGGCTTCCTATCCAGCATGGGTCTGTCTATCCCAGCAGGCCTGTGTCGCCTGGCCCCACCTGCCCTGCGTCTGGGCCAGCGTCGAATGCTCCAAGGCAAAGCCCCCGACATCCCAGAGCACGTCCTGAGGTTGGCGGGAGTTGGCCCAGACAAGCTGAGAGCAGAATGGAGCCTGCCGGGGTTCATTACCATGTTCCTGCCTGAATTCCCCCACAAAAGTGTGCCTGGGCACGAACACTTTCAGGTATATTTCAATTACAACATAGATGCCAATAATGTGTAAAGCTTGATATGATTGGATAATGCAGAATACATGTACTATTTTTACCTTTTCGCTTCTCTCTCTTTCTCTGTCTCTGTTATTTTGCTCCACCAGGTGTTGAGTTACATCGCCAAAGGTTCATTTGGACCCATTCTAAAAGTTAAGGACAAGACCAAACAGAAAACATATGCTGTCAAAGTGAGTGCCTGAATCTCACATTTTAACTGTGGTTTGAGTGATCAAAGCCATGAATGAACAGCCAGTTTATTGGCTGGTTGTGACTTAATACTGTCTTTGCTTAGTATGCCATTTGACTATTTGTTGGCCTGTAAACATGAAAGTAAAATAATATATAATATATAAATGCAGGCAAAACTTGATGCATCGCTAAAAAGTATTTTTTAAAGGTAAAATTACCCTCAAGTCAGGACTTGTCATTTTACCTGGAGTCATTGAGGCTTTAACATACACACCAATGTATGTCAAGCATGTAAAAATCTTTACAGTCCTGCACACTCTTATTTCATCTCAGTATTTTTGTCGGCCAACAGGTTATACCTAAATCCGAGATTCTAAGACTCGGGGTCTTGGAGCAGTCAAAAGAAGAAGTTATAGTCCAGGTGGGTATAAAGAACAGGCCTTTGAAATCACTGTAAGTTTACAGATATTGGAAGTCTTATATGTCTTTAAATGCACTTGGAAGTAGTAAGTGCAGTCCTGAGCCACTTTTCATGCAATAAGCAATATTTTGCATACTTGCAATGGATATGTGTTTATGATTATATTATTGACTTAATGGTATTCTAAGTAAAAACAAAATAAGGAATAAAATAAGAATAAAAATATAACCCTATTAAGCTGTAAAAAAGAAAAACAGTGACATTTTATGTTCAACCTATCACAGAAGGGTGGAAATAAATGGATTAATATCAGTATTTTTCAGTATCAGGAGAGAAGTACATCGAGGCTGTCTCTTTAACTGCCTTTCAGTCTTGAACTGTATGCACAGATAACATCAAAATCAAATATTTAATGTAGAAACATTGTGAAAACAAACATAAAATATCTGGATACAGATGATGCATTATTATACATTTTTGAGTAGTAATTGCCAGTGTTGACGGGATGTATTCATATTACAGTATAAATAAAATGGACGTAAGATGCAGTGAATGTATCCAGACCTTGTGTGATATCTTATGGGACACACTGTAATCGGTCTGAGGAGGCGGAACTACTTCTGTGATGTCTAATTTTAACCAGTTTCATGTCTAATTCCAAACAATTTTGAGTCTTTAACCAACAAGACCTGAAGTTACTGAAGTTGTGAGTGAGGTCAGTATCTCAGAAAACTATTTGCACCCAGAGAGTATAAAAGTATGAATCAAAGTCTCTTTGATCAATGGCCAAAAATGAGATTTTTCAGATTGATCTTGGACCTTTGCCCGCAGCGTCAGGTTCGCCATCCATTTGTCCATGACCTCCAGGACTGCTGGCAGACTCAGCGCCACCTCTACATTAGTGAGTCAGCCAGAGACCAGTGACCCAATCCAACCCAGATCTACTACCCCAAAAACCCTTCACTCTACCTTTTCTCACCTCAACACTGGTAGCCCTGCCCAAACTCTCCCACAATCCCCAGCCCAACACCTAGAATATGATGAACACAGAGACTTCAATTTAGTCTTTTTATTTTATTTATTTTTCGCCCTCAGAATTAAACCTGAACCCCTACAACCCAGCAAACCCCATCTACCACTGCCTGTGCATCCTGTATCTGCTGTGCTCTCCTTTCCTCTCCTCCTGAGCATTTACCCTTTTCCCCCCCAAATCAGCCACTGACTCAGAAAGTGTGACCCAGATTGTTTGGTTCCCCACCCCCTGTGAAAAGAGAGCGTTAGCCCGGGGAACAGATGTTGAATGCTGCTGCAGCTCAACAAGAGCACACGTGCAACATTCAAAAGAGAGCTCGCCCCTGCTTGCTCAAACAGTGAATCATCACTGAATCATTAAGCCATAAATGTAGATATGGTGCATATTTGAAACAAATCAAGACTATATACAACCATCCTCCTGTATTATATAGTGAGACTCCTTGAGGCCTTTATCTGCAGAAAAAGATTGTTGACTTGTTCTCCGTTTGGTTTTGCAGAGGAAACTAGTTTTACACTGTCCTCACTCCTCATTCCTAATTTCTTTCATCAGTGTGTGTTCCACATCCCACTGACCTTCACTACCCCTCACTCTTCCCGCTACATAATAATAATAATAATAATAATAATAATAATAATCTTTATTTGTAGAGCACTTTTCAAAAACAAGTTACAAAGTGCTTTAACAAGTGTAAAGACAATAATACCCCAAAAACAATAATACAAAAAAAAAAAAAACATGACAGAGGCATGTTTGTAATGCTTTCCCTGCTCCCACAGTGTGTGACTACTGCAGCACAGGAGACCTGTATACCTACTGGCAGATGATTGGCTGCTTCACGGAGGACACAATACGAGTGTTTGCAGCAGAGCTGGGATGTGCA